CTACAAGGGAAGGGCTGGGGGCCCATTGCTGGGACGTTTCTAAACACACAGGGATGGAACCCAGGGGTCCTTCTTTCCAGGCCATTGCACTAACCACTACATCACACTGCCTCCCACAGCTGGGAATTACAACCTGGCCCCTGTTCCCACTGGCCCTGGCCTGGAGAGGGAGTGGGATCTGCTGCAGTGACTGGAGCAAGGGGCTGGAAGTCAGGACTCCTGGGTTCTATGGCTGTGTGTTGTGGTCTTTGCAATGTTATGCGAATGAAATATGACCATGTATATCATTGTTGCTACCACTGTTATATAATTGCAACAAATCTTGTACCAAGTATGTCATGTAAGGTGTCAATGGAAAAGTTATGAGCTGCTGAATATGATTATCCTATTTGTATTCATGTATCATTGTTGTATCTGAAGTTGTGAATATTGACTATGTACCTGTCTTTCAAATGTGTTTGCTCCTGGGGTGACACCCACAAGGTAGTTTACATCCAGTCTAGCCAGCACATTGCGAATGGACTATTCAAGTTGATGGCCCATTAATAAATACAATGGGCCATAGAAGAAGGTTTTCCCCCCACAATGGACTTGCCTGTGGACGTTTTAACCAGAACTTGAGTAATGGTCCTTGTCCTTAATCATCAAAGCATGCAAGGGCATGTGACCAGTTTATGTGACACTGGACTCCATCTTGTGCCTGTACTTTTCCACAAACTGTGCTGGGGGCTTTGTGTGGGACAATGAGTTTCCCTCCACATGGGAGAAACTATAAAAAACTCTGAACATAACATAAGAACAAAAGAAAGGCCGTACCGGGTCAGAACAAAGGTCCATCTAGCCCAGTATCCTGTCTACCGACAGTGGCCAATGCTAGGTGCCCCAGAGGGAGTGAACCTAACAGGCAATGATCAAGTGATCTCTCCCCTGCCATTCATCTCCATCCTCTGACAGACAAAGGCTAGGGACACCATTCCTTACCCGTCCTGGCTAATAGCCACTAATGGACTTAACCATCATGAATTTATCCAGTTCTCTTTTAAACGCTGTTATAGTCCTAGCCTTCACAACCTCCTCAGGTAAGGAGTTCCACAAGTTGACTGTGTGCTGCGTGAAGAACTTCCTTTTATTTGTTTTAAACCTGCTGCCTATTATAAGCATCTCTGTTTTGCTTCTTTCCTGCTCGGATCTCTGGACTATGGACTTACACTAACAGGAGCATTACAACCAATGGACTGAGGACCTTCCAATCTTTGGATGTTACCAGAGACATTATAAGCCAGCAATTTATTCCATCACTGCTACAAACATGATCCAAGAACTTTGCAATGCTTGTGTGTATTTGATTCCTTTGACCATTTTAACTCTCTTCTCTTTCTTTCCTCTTATAAATAAACCTTTAGATATTAGATACTGAGGGATTGGCAACAGCGTGACTCTTGGGTAATCTGGACAGGAACAGGCTGAGCTGGTAGGCAAGTAGGAAGCTGAGATCAGAAGGGGCTGTAGTGTGGACCCCGCAGTCACTCTAGAAGCTCGGAGGCCTGATCCTGAGGGAAGGGTGTACAGGAGGAGGGTGGAGAAAGAGCCCGGTGGAGGTGAAGTAGGAGCCGCCTAGGGAACTAGTACAAGGTTTGGCACAGTATAAACAGTAGCTGTTGGTTGTAGGGTCTCTGAGCTGGAACCTGGAGAGGAGGGCAGGCTTCAGTTCCCCTACCAGCTGCTGGGCAAGTGGCACGGAGCCGGCAGTGGAGGTGAAGGCTGCTTTTGCTACCCCACAAAGACAGAGCACACTGAGTCACAAAGAGAGAGGGTGGCAGAGCATGTGAACAAGCAGCAGAAGGGGGTGTCAGAGCTGGAAAGAGCCAATCCCCAGAGAGGCCAGGAGGAGGCACCGTAGGTGGTGAGTGGAGCCTGTGACTGGCTGGTTTCATGAGTGACTTGTGGGATCTTGGGCAAGTTGCTGCCCTATGGGGATCGCTCTTGTAAAGGACTGTGAGATTTACCCAAGGAAAGCTGCTCTTCGGTACACCCCCAAAGACGTGTTGTTATTGGCCTTGGAAGGTGCCCAGAAGATCAGCAGGGATTCCTGCCCAAACAAGCCTCCCACTGCCTTGTTAGCTCAGAGGAGTTAACACTCATGATTTGATCAGGACTCACTACTGCCAGGAGTTTGAGACGTGTCTATACCATCACTGGACAGATGGGGAAACTGAGGTACAGAGACAGGACGTGACCTGCCCAGGGCCCCATAGCAGGGCAGTGGCAGAGACAGAAAGAGAAGCCAATAGCCCTGCAACCCCTGCCCTGAGGCCTGGCTCAAGCCTTCTCCTTGTTGCTCAGTGGAGCTTCTCCCCTCTTCCCTTAGGGGGATGGAACCTGCGTCCTTCTCTTGGCACCTGTTGACTCCACCCCAAGGGGCCCCTCCTAGCGCCTGGGTCGCAAGGGCTGCTGTACCCTGGGGAAGTGTTTAGTGCCATATAATAGACTAGGGGGTGTAGTCCAATGCACAGGGGAGAAAATAACTACCCCAACGTCCCAGTAATGATACCAGAGGGGGAACTTTGTTAGGCAGAGGGAAGAAAGGCCTGGGGCTACGGAAAGAACAGGAGTAACTAGAATATATTAAACCATCAACAATACCTTAAACCCTCCACCCCCAACATTCACAACGGGCCTAACCCCCCGCGCCTCTGGCTCCCTCCTAGTCCCAGCCCAGGCAGAACAGGGGTTGGGAACCTGCTCTGGGAAGGATGATGTACTCGTTGGCCAACTTAAAACTCACAAGTAAACGTGGGGTTTCTTACAAGGGCTCCCCCTGAGCAGGCAGGGTGGTGCTGAGGCTCCCTGCCCTGGAGTCCAATGGACAGTTCGGCCGGCTCTGGGTAGCCTGACCTGGGATCGTCCTCAGCCTCCAGGTTGATGGTCTCGCCTGGGCTGAGGTCCTTCAGCACCCGGAAACACCCCCAGTTTCCAACCTTCTCTTTGCATGGCAATGGGACATTGGGTGGGGAGCTTCCAGGTTGTGACACATCTCACTCTGCTCCACTCCACCAACAGCCGACAACCGAATGTAAACCAACCCGTCTCCGAGCTCTGCCTTCTGATTGGTTGTGGTGGTAGCTCCCTGCGTGTTCCATCTCTGCCCGGCATTCCAGGAACAGGGCGGGGCTGGGACTGGCTGACGTCCCCTCCAGGCTTAGAGCAAGACGTCAGGACCCACCAGCTCCCAAGGGCGTTATTGTCCGGACTCCTGCTCTGACCATAGACGACAGATACCCACCCCGAGACAGGGATAGAACCCAGGTGTCCTGACTCCCCACACCCACTCTAGTCACTGCACTTCCCCTTTCACAGGCTCTGAAAAATCCTGTCTTTGTTCTGAACTTTTGCTTGGTCTTAGCAGAGGATAACAAGGGGGTTGAACTCTGTGCTGCTAAGGGAGGCTGAGCTGGCAGGGGGTGGCAGGGGCAGGAACGCAGCCTCTGCCCCTGATCTGTAGCAGCCTGTGTCCGAGTGAATTGAGGCCTATCCCTCCTCTCACTGCCTGTGACAGATAGCAATTTCCTGCAATGGCCTGATGGCCTTCACTTTTGGGGAGTGTTGCCTAGTGGCCAGGGGGGTTGTCCCTTTGAAGTGCGGAGGGGTGGTTTGGTAAGGGAGCCAGGGCCCCCCCACTCCAGCAGGCTCCAGGCCAGGGCCCTGTGAGGGCTATCAAAGGTCTGACACCCAGGAGCACCTTAAGGCTGCCCTCCCTGGGCCACATCCCACCCCGCTATTGCTCAGAGTCTGTAGCAAGGAGGTGTGAAGGGGGTCAGCTCCCCATTGGGCGTCTCCTCATGGCCAGGCGTGGCCCTTCTCTCTCTTGGGGCGGCTTGCTGGGTGTGAGGGGTCCTCGGTCTGACCTGGTCTGTCTGTTCCAGGTTGCTGGGTGTGAGGGGTCCTCGGTCTGACCTGGTCTGTCTGTTCCAGGTTGCTGGGTGTGAGGGGTCCTCGGTCTGACCTGGTCTGTCTGTTCCAGGTTGCTGGGTGTGAGGGCTCTGGGTCTGACCCGCTCTTGCAACTCCAGGTTTCCTACTTTAAATATTTTGCCGGTCATTTAAGAGTATTATTGATTCCTGTGTTTATTAACGAGGGAGCTGAACAAGCCCTCGCTGGCTCTGGGATGAAATGAATGCTGGCTAGGGCTGTACCTGTGGCTGGGAAAAGCCCTTTTCACACCTTCAAGGCGTCAAGGGGACACTGTCAGTTTACAATTCATGGTGAGGTATTTACAAAATGGCTGCTACAGTTCAGCTCCTCTGTCCATATTTAGGCTCTTTAATAAGTGGCCTGAGACGGGGAGCTGCATTGCCACTGATTCCCGACTGAGGGGTTTGCCTCGGGGTCAGTGTGCCGAGGGAGCTCTGCCTGCCACGACCACCCCAAATCTACAGTGCGTTCCGCTTGTTAGCAACCCCTCGGCTGGCAGCAAGAAGTTGCTGTGATCCAACAGTTGCTAATAAGCAGAAGGCAGGTTTGCGAGGCAGCAGCCAGGGATGGTAGGTCTCAGCACGGCCTTTCCTGGCAGCTGCCTCACAAACCTGCCTTCTGCTTATTAGCAACTGTTGCATCACAGCAACTTCTTGCTGCCAGCCGAGGGGTTGCTAACAAGCGGAACGCACTGTAGATTTGGGGTGGTCGTGGCAGGCAGAGCTCCCTCGGCACACTGACCCCGAGGCAAACCCCTCAGTCGGGAATCAGTGGCAATGCAGCTCCCCGCCCCCGGCCACTTATTAAAGAGCCTAAATATGGACAGAGGAGTTGAACTGTGGCAGCCATTTTGTAAATACCTCACCATGAATTGTAAACTGACAGTGTCCCCTTAACGCCTTGAAGGTGTGAAAAGGGCTTTTCCCAGCCACAGGTACAGCCCTAGCCAGCATTCATTTCATCCCAGAGCCAGCGAGGGCTTGTTCAGCTCCCTCGTTAATAAACACAGGAATCAATAATACTCTTAAATGACCGGCAAAATATTTAAAGTAGGAAACCTGGAGTTGCAAGAGCGGGTCAGACCCAGGGCCCTCACACCCAGCAACCTGGAACAGACAGACCAGGTCAGACCCAGGGCCCTCACACCCAGCAACCTGGAACAGACAGACCAGATCAGACCCAAAGCCCCTCACACCCTGCAACCT